AGAGAGAGAGAGAGAGAGAGAGAGAGAGAGAGAGAGAGAGAGAGAGAGAAAGATTAAGAAAGACGAAAGTCACAGTAGAATTTGAAAACTCTGCCCCGCAATAATTATAAGCCATAATGTAATCGTATCTTAAATTGCTCATTCTATTTTCAATTTAGCGACTTTATATATTGATGGAGTATATATTTATATATACTTGTATGTACATGTATACATATGCATAAATATTATTATATTTCATTTATCTTTATGTTCTTTGATCCTATTTCATTTTAGTTCACACAATTGTAACTGTAGATATAGTGGGAAACTTCGCATTGAAGCTATGAATCACTCGAATTTGAATATCAGAATATTTTGCATCATTTTGATGCCCATGAGAATTTTTACTAAAACTAAATCACAATTATAATCAAAAACTAAAAATTTTGATATTAATAGAGTATTTGCATTACTTTTTAATCCTGGGTTAGAGATTTAAAAGATCTGCAATATTTTTTAATATATGTCCACAATTACAAAATGTTGTAATCGAATTGTTAATAAATGATAATATAAATGCATGTAAAAGCTGTTATCGCTCGAGTGCTTTAGTATTCAGAGCAAATATTAATTTAAGATAAGGAGACCCAATAAAGAATCATGTAATTGGCGCACATTTGGCGCTGGACTTATGAAAGAGTTTCCCCTACAAGTTTCGCAGTGGACGCAGACATCATCAGCTCTACAAATTGCTTCCTCAATTACAACTGTATAAGTAATTTGGTCTATGCCGTTATACACAAAGGTAACACGCCGAATGGGCCCGATAGACACGTGTGAATATTCATTAGATTAATATGGGCAAAGTGAAAGTGCAGATGCAAATGCTCGATTAGAAGAAAATCAATTTACATAATCAGTATACGTACTTCTGCTTGTAGCCGTAATACCAGTGTGTGGTCTCCTTCAGTATTATGACAGCATCGCCCACATCCAAGTTCAAGCGGTGTGGCTTCCTCTCCTGGTCAAAATTACATTTGGCTGCAAAGAATATAAAGTGAAGGGAAATCACATATTATATAAATTTATTAATCTAAATTGTATTTTAGCTTTTTCATTGTATTGTTTCATTTCGTACACCGAAATCACCTGTTGCGATTCAACAGCTATGCGAAACTGAGCAGCGAACTGACAAAATCAAGCTCAGTCGAATTAAAGCTCAGGCAAAGCACCGAGCTGGCATTAGGCAAATCTCTCGATGGGGCGTTTTTGGGGTGAGGGTTATCAATTACCTAGTTAGCACAAATATTAGCATTTATATACTCATATACTATATACGTATGTGCTCCCTCTGATGGCAATCGGAAACCGTGCCCGGCGGATGGGTTCGCTGATAGCGATGTCAAGCCGCCGTTCTACGTGAGATTTATCTAACTATACGCTTCCTACAAAACCGGAGTCAAAGCTGATAAACTTCTAGTTAAATGACGCACTTCAGATCGCAGCTCAGAGAAATGAAGAATTGCATTGCCCAGACGCAGTCACTGCAGCAGCCGGGTGGGAGGCGAAAGGAGATGACAGATCGAGACAAAGCCGCATTCACAGACTGACGTACAGCCAAGTCGCTGGCGACATCGTCATCACTTCCTCGCCCGATAATGAAAGCAACACACAAACGAATACAAATACAGCGACATATACGCATATAATATATATATGTATATGCATTTATGTGGATACAATTATGCCGCAGCTGCAGGCAGACCCAAAAGCGACAGCAACAGCAACAACATCGCGTAACACAGCCCGGGTGGTGCTGGTGATGGCTTTGTCGCCGTTGCCACCGTCCCGGTCCAATGACCGATGTGCGGTCCCCGCGGCTGTTGAACAAGCATAACCAGCGAGAACGACCTCCACAACACATAAATCTACAACAACAACAACGATAAGTGGCAACAATTTGCAAAGGTATTTCTCTTTTTTTATACTTTGTAAACATAAACATCTACAGGTATATACAACTGTAGTAAACATAAAAAGACCGTTAAGTATGAACTAAGATGAGATTGTATTTTAAAGGTACGTTATTCTTCAGTCAATAGAGTCATCTGATAATCATATCACGCAATATACATATATCGAGGTAGATTGTTCTTATATTATACACATTTATGTTCTATATGTAGATCGCAAATTAAAAATACTAACTCAACACTGTTCACTTATACAATATATGTATATTAAAAGTAGATCATCTAAAATGCTCTACATAATATAAGGGTATTTCACAGTCGAGCTCTCCCAAGCAGAGCACTCTTACTTGTTTGCTTTACTTCGCATTTGTTGGAGAGTGAGAAAGATTTTCATTATCTGCCCAATTGCATGGAAAGTTAAGCCCGGAGTGGGTCAATTGCAAAAACCAGTCGAGCTTAGCGAGTCTCATGCGAACCACTTTTTTTCTCTTTTTATTTCATTTTGCATTTATGTTTTGCTTTAGTCTAGTCTTCCGTGCAAAGCGCGTGAGTGCAAATGCGATGTAATGCTCATTTAGCAAAAGTAATGCAAAATTCACGCTTTAGTTAAGCAATAAGGAAATTGATGGTATTTCAACTCTCCGTGTTTTATATTACAATGAACCAAGTGATTATACTTTAAAGAAATGTTCTTAAACGTCAGTGCATATGGCAGTCGATTTCTGAGAAATGGCGAGTGATTCATGGCGATGTTGATGACGAAGACGACGACTTGGATGCCAATCGGGCAATCAGTCATCGGGCGTGGCACACACCTTGCTCCATAACACTGACTGGGAAGGGGGCATATCAAATTAAACTCATTTCCCTTAGGATGCACGCGATAAGGCAGAAGCGATTGAAACTGTGGCTCAATGCATGCAACCAATAACTATCTGGAAATTGTTGGGCTAACGGAAACAATCGTGAATAATGAAATGCAACCGCTGAGGCTATAAATAAACGAGGCAACTGGCCAAGTCACGGCTGAATGGTGTGGGAAGAAAGGGTACGCTGAACACACACACACACACACAAGCACACACACACATGCACACGGCCAACTAATCAGCCAGGTAAAAGCCAGGTAGACGGCAAGGAGCACAATTCCAGTCCACACTGTGGACAAATTGTGCAGCAGCAGCAGCAACAATTGCTAGAATCGTATAGGAGCCATTGTTAGCCGCCGGATGCAGTTCTACCCCGCCACCCACAGCCGCTCCTCCCTTGGCCAAGGCGGGGCAGCACGTGAACATTGTGTGCCTGTGCCGAGGGTCGAATGCAAACAGAGCTCGGTTCGAGCTGCTGCCAAAGTTGCCTAGCAAATGAAGCAAAACAATCATCATCATAATAACAATAACAACAAATTGCCAACAAGTAAAAGCTACGACGCGTCGTCATCTTCCCGCTGACAGGCCGCAGACACACATACATACAAACACAATCGTGACTGGACGCCCCAACGACAACAGTGACCGCGGCAGCGGCTTGGCTCAGCTCACTTGGATATTCAGGTTTATATGGCACGCGGTTTGGCAGTTTATATATGTACGTGTATGCATACATACATGTATGTACATGCATATATAAGCAAATAAGTACATATATATACATAAGCAGATAAGCACAATAGCACACCTCAAGCACGAGTGATAGTGAGCGACTGTTTCCGACTCCCAGCAATCATAATTGCGATTGTTTGTTGTGCATATGCATATGTACATATATAGTTAACGCTCTTAACAATTCCCCAAACAATGGGGATTCATTGATGAACTAGTTCTAGGCAATGCAAAAAATTTAATTGGATTCTGCAATAGTTTGAAAACTTATGGTAAAAGCTGGTAAAGGATATATGTATATATTTAAAGACCATTTTGAACATACAAAGTCTTAAACTTTAAAGAAACTCACTCACTCAACTCATAAACGCAAACTCTGTTTTCATGTTTGATTTCCTATAATTATTTACAGAAATCATGTTAATAATATTAAAGTGTTAATTAATGAATTTCTTTTTATAAATTGGTATTTTCCGGAACTCTTTTTACATGAAATGATTTTTCCTATATTTACATTGGCAAAATACATAAGTATTGATAAAGAAAATGTAATGTAAAAACAAAATTCATATTTCCAGGCGAATAACTTCAGGGGCGGCTGCTCACCACTAATTTGATTTTTATTACCTATTTCCAGTCGCTAAACTAATTTATTGTGTCATCTCTAGCTGAGATAATTTGTTCTCAGACTACTGCTCATCACTAGTTGAGCGTATTCTCAAGATACGCTGTGACTGTTGCCCATCTCTAATTCTGTTTTGTTTTAGTTATAGCTGTTGTTGTTGTTGTTGTTTTTGTTATGGCGCATTAAGTCAGCGTGTTCTCAAAGTTCATTTGTTCTTGGCGCTCCGTTTTGTAAGCTGTGAGCTCAGCTATGGCTAAAAGAATATATAGTATACACATACATGTGTATGTACATGTATGTACATACATGCATACCTATGTATACACATGCTTGTAAGCATGCGTATACATGACTTAACTTTTGAGGGTCAATTCTAATGGATCTCAAACGGTTAAGTCGTAGCTTGTCTGGCTAATTATAGCCGCTTTTTTCATACATACACGTATGTATATGGATAGATACGTATGTATGTATGTATATAGTATATTAGGTTGTTTCGGGTAGCGCTCTCAGTTCTCAACGAATTACTTTTTATGGGCTTGTCGAAACTGAAATTCCATTGTGTTCTCTTCTATCATTTTTATTGTTCTCTTTCATTCTGCTATTTTGCAAAACTTATTAAACAAACAAAATATACTCACGGTTCGACGGTAAAACAAAAGAGAAAAGAACAAACCCTATTTGTAGATAAGATTTTATGGACAGTTGACAGTTACAGTTAATGGCGTCGCGCACTCGTAAGGCCCACAAAAATTACTCGAAAAATTAGACACGGTAAAGAAAATGAAATAAAAATTGTTGATAATACCAGAGTCGTAAAACTGACAATGTGAAGATGTAAACAGAAACTTGACCCATTTAGGTCAAAAATATAGAGTACACACTTCTTAGTACTACGGATTCCAGCTTTATAGCCATAGTAACTATGTATGTTATTTTAATGTACTGAATTTTTTAGCTTTTCCGGTGGCAATCTATAATGCCTACATCCGATCGTAAAAGAAAACGTCTCAAAGCCTATTTCTAGGACTTATAGTATTTAAAAACAATAAAATATAACAAAAATACATATCTGAATAAAGAAACGCGTAATTAAATATATGTATGTATGTACATTTGTATATATTATAAACTTATCGGTTAATAATTCTGAGAATTTTATAATTATAAATCATTCTTAACATTGTAGCAATATCACTCTATAGTTTGTTCCAATATAATGCAAGCAACATGGATAGATTGATATGTATATACATATATCATCTGTGAGTCATATAGTAATCAGTCTTGAGCTGAGGAACATGGACTTTGACCGCGTGGTCGTAACACTAGAAGTTCAATAAAACGAAACCGATTTCCACTGACTTTTTCGAGTAATTTTTGCATGACTCAGCCGATTTGGACTCAAAGCCCGCTTGCGACTGGCGCTCCATTGCTTTCTACTTAGATGTAATTCGAAGTAGAAAACAGAAAGAAAAATCAATCCACACAATTTATGCTTAATTACAAGCAATTTTGCTTTCCACGATTGGAAAATGTCAATTTACAACAAAAAGATGCGACAATCTTTTGACATTGGCAATTTATAGAGCAATAAAATCGTATAGCGGGAGGGGTTCTGGGGAATGGCAATGTCTCCAATCAAATTTCAATTTGAATTACGAAATGGAAAGCGCAGATTGGATTGGCTTGCGACAGATATTGGAGAAGTGGATCTGGATGTAGATAGCTTTAAGTAGTGTTTGCACAATTGTCTCGGGTGCGCATGCAGATAAATGGAAATACGGAGGAGGTCCATTCATACTCGTTCACAACATGAACAGAGTATTTTGATTGTGTGCTTTTAATTCTCTTATTATTAATACATGAATGTTGCATTTATAATATATACATATGTCTGATACGAACGAGTATTACGCAGTCGGTTAGCAAGTTCTTTTTGTTGATGCTGCTGCAGTTGATAACTTCAAGCATTGAGAGCAATGGACGGAGGGGGATGAACAACTATTAGACAACAGCATTTGATTCAGTAACATGAGAGATATCTTAATTGCGGTTACAAACATACATACATATGTATGTATGTATGTACAAACGTACAAATTATTTGCTGGAGCTCAACTGCTTTGAAGTTTGCTGTATCATGTTAGAAAATGTGATGCTGGACTAAAATGGAAAGCAGTTTCAATTATGCAAATGAAAAGGCATTTCATGCACCACAAAAGTTAACGACCAAGAAAATTTTAATTAAATAGAAAAACCAAATTTGAAAGCCAACAACGGCAGAGCAACTCATCAATTCGACTCTAGCTCAACAAAACTCAACCCTTCTCCCTCCCTCTCTCTCTTTGCTCTGTATATGGTCTTACTTTTCTATTCAGAGCCTCATTAAGTTTGACGTTTGCTTTGCTCTTGTAGTTTTTTTTGTTGTTGTTGTAGTTGCTATTCAAATTTAGAAGTAGAATGCTCGGCTACCTACTCCGATGTGCTCTCCCTCTAGCTAAAGAAAGTGGCGCATAAAGCGCTGAGTCAAGTGTAAATAGGTAAAGGAGCGACGAACGACGAAGAGAGACGGGGCGAGCGAGTGAGCAGGAGGTAAGTCAGTGCCGCAGGTGCAGCAGACGCCCGACTAATGCCAATGAACACTGAAGTAGCAGGCCCAATGCCTGACGGCGACTGCATGTCACAAATCATCACATAGAGGACAGCCAAAGAGAGTAGTGATAGGGTGAGAGCCGCGAAATGCATGTGTGTGGGTGTGTACGCTTTGTTACTGTACATGTGCGCTCACGCATTGGTCAGCGAGGGCGGGCGGCAAGTGGGGTAGCTTATGCTCTCCTGCTTTGCATTCAAATTGATGTTTGTTTGTTTTTCTTCTTTTTTTTTTCAAAGCATCAAATGACAAATGAACAAAATAAATGAATAAATACAAACAAAAGCTTAAGAAATTTTTCTATTATTTGCTCAAATGTGGGACAGCGAATCGCATTTTTATCGCATTTCGAAATGCGTTGCAGTGTTATTGTTGCTGCTGCTACTGCTCAACACACACAAATACACACAGATACATACACCCATATTTGCTGAGCGTTTAAAGTATAAGACGCAAGCGTTAAAATATACACATAAAAAACAGCGATAAGAAAACAAGAAACTATTGGTGATAAGCGAAGAGCTTGTGATTTATGGACATATTTTCATGGCTAGCAAATGCAGCAAGGATAAATTAGGTAAAATATCAAATTTTATCCATTGTATTTGCACTGATATATATTCACCCACATACTCGGATATGTATGTATATATGTGTGATATATATATTCATTATGAGAACGATAAATGAAACTAAGCTCAATGCCGTTTGTAATCTAATGTATGTATATCTTTATAACATTTCGTACCGAAAGGTCGCAAAATTTGATTAAATTCATGACTACCACACCCACTGGCAGAGAGTTTTAGGCGCATACAGTTATTAATATAATTTCGACACTGCGTAGCAGGTAGAAAAGGAAGGCAGCGCGGGCAGGGACCAAACACGTGTAAATATTCAGAGCAAATAATTTGAGTGCTTTGAATGGACAGCCATAACTCGATTACGAGACATTGAATTGCGCGAGTGATGTGTAAATACAGACACATATAAACATATGTATACATGTATACATAAAAGCATACATATGCACATGCATGCATGCTCTCTACCTAGCTATTGAACATCGAAAAGGTCAACAAACAAAAGAGCCGACAATTAATATAAAAAAATAAAAGAAATTCACACGTATACACAGGTCGATGAGAGCATTTCAAAGATATTACTATTGCCATTTCATGGTCATTGCCAATGAATACGCTAGAATTGGTTGTGCATGAATAATGAATGTTTGTTCTCTTACACTCTCACATCTGTGTATGTGTGAGTGAGTGCAACCAGGCGATAGAAAACAGGTTACAGCTACATGAGTGTTTAACACAGAGGCAAAATCTGTGTATTTATGTCTGTGTCGAAAAGTGAAGCGTAGAAATGCTGCTGAGGCTGAGAGGCTGGAAAAAATGGGATGAGATTGAAAGAAAAACGAAATTAATGTGAGCGAAGACGAAGACAAAACTCTACGTCTGCTGCATGTTGACAGCGACCACATGGCCGGCGAATGCAAGGGAGTGCTGCAGCAATAACAACAACAAAACTACCGTAGCATCGCAGCAGGGGAACCAGAGCCAGAGAGACTCACACTTGAGCCGCAAGGTAAGAACAGTACGAGAGCGTAAGTTATTGTTGTACGCAGCTTCATCTTCTGTTGTTGCTTTTTTTGGAAATGAACAGCACGCATCTCACCCACACAGCATGAACTGTTTGCTGTTCTAGGAAAAGGTAGGCACTAAATTAAGCACATTGTTTAAACAATTTTGTTGCAGCGTTGAAATTTTAAAAGAAAACAACAATGTTGTTGTTTGTTAAAAAAATATAATAATAAAATTATTTAAAGATGTTTTTGCTTTTTTCTTAATTAACACTCACCAATGCCAAACGACTGCTTAGCATTGCAGTCACTCCACACAGCCATTGTGAATACTTGTTGCTGTTGATACTATTATTGTTAACTTTTACCACACTAATAAACACTCGAACGCACACATAAGTATATACTTTCGTTTGCGAAAAAATAAAATAAAAAGCAATCGCGTCGTGAAATATGGGTATAGAAAACAAAAACAATAAATGTTCACTCATGAATGTAAGCAACACGTAGTTTGAATCAGGCTTAGTTGTTCAGAGCCGACACATTGACATTTTCTTGTATTATTTTCTTATTTATTGCACAATTATATTGCTGTGTTAATATTTCATTGAATAATATATAATTTACACAACTTTATTGTCGCCTTAATTCGTTCTCATTTTGGGAGTTGGCCGAACATAATCTCTGCTTACGCTCCCGCACTCACATGCATACACACTCGAGCGGGCATATTTCCACTTCGCTGTTTCGTTCACAATTAATTAATTAACCGGAATGAACCCCGCGCGGACCAATCGTGATACTCATTTCAACTGTTGCTCGGCTACTACTGGGCCAATGTGACCAGCCGTTTGAAACGATGAAAATACCGTAACACTATGAATACAAAATAATAAATTATTAATAATAAAAATATATGCTCGGCGATACATTGACGTTTCTCATATATATTTTTGTATGTGGTGAACTTATTAAACGATATTTACAGCCAACATACCCTTAAGAGTTTGCTTTATTTCAAACTGGTATTTTTATGTTAGTGCTGAACGAGGGCTGCATAGCATATCAATTTGCAAATATAAATACCTTCGACGGTGTCTGCGAACGGTCGCATTGTTTTTCGCCAGACAAGACATCGTGAAAAATATTCGGCGCGCCATTTCTGTGTTTGTGCTTCCAAAGGAACTTTTTGCGGGCTCAATATATTATAAGTTGCATTATTATTGTTAAGCGGTCATCCGATTGATCGTCTGTATTGTTGCCGCACCCTAATAACAACACAAGGGCACTCACAAACATACACTCATATACATATATATAAACATATATTTATTTGCGCAACCCGAGCTCGTGTTTCACTCCTTTGTGAAATAATTTGACGATTTGCGAGTAGTGCTCAGTGTATGTTTGTGTGTACCAACAGCTAGCCGGCAGATCGATCAAAATGTTTGGCGGCGCTAAACCCACATTTGGCACCGGTACCGGAACCACGGGCTTCGGAACGTTCAGCAACAGCGCAGCTGCAACGCCCTTTGGTCAATCGGCGTTTGGGAAGCCAGCAACCCCAGCGTTTGGAGGCACATCTGCTTTTGGCGCCCAACCGACGCAGCCCTCGATGTTTGGCACCACACCGGCAGCGAATCAACAACCTGGCGGCTTGTTCGGTAGCTCAACGACAACCAGCGCTTTTGGTGGCACAACCACAGCGCCCACATCATTTGGAGGTTAGAGTCGAATAATACCCTTTAAATAAGCTATGGTGGTCGTAGAATATATACATACATATGCAACATGACGGCTTATAAATAAATTATTTAATTCAATATATTTATATATATGTCTAAATACATAAATATGAAATAATGTAATAACAAGTACTAATGCCTTTAATGATTTATTTCAGCATTTTCTCAAGCCGCACAAACATCAAATATATTTGGCTCCACGCAAGCGGCTCCAAACACCTCGCTGTTTGGGCAGGGTACGACAAGTGCTTTTGGCGCCGCAAAACCCACCACTTTAGGCCTGAGCAGCTTCGGTCAAACACCGGCAGCCCAACCACTGTTTGGTCAGCAAGCGACTGCTGCGAGCACTTCAGGCTTTGGCGGGTTTGGTCAGGCGGCTCCAACGACAACAAATGTGTTTGGCAGTGGCGCTGCGTCGGCGTTCGGACAACCCCAAGCAGTGGCTGTAGGGGCGGCGGGCGGTGTCAATCCGGGCACTTCAGTGGCCAAGTATCAGCCCACGATAGGCACGGACACGCTCATGAAAGGTGGGCAGGCAAACAATGTTAATACGAAACAACACTGCATTACCGCAATGAAAGAGTACGAGATGAAGTCACTGGAGGAACTGCGTCTAGAGGACTATCTGAGTTCGCGTAAAGGTCCTCAGGCTGGCAGCGCACCAGGTGGTTTCGGTTTTGGAAGTCCTGCTACCGGTACGCAGCCCGCGACCACTGGACTCTTCGGCTCACCGGCTCAGCAACAGCCCAGCACTGGCTTGTTCGGGCAGACGGGCACTGAGAATAAGAGCCTGTTTAACACCTCGGCCTTTGGCCAGCCAGCAGCAACCAGCGCCTTTGGTGCACCCGCCCAGCAGAACAATTTCTTACAGAAGCCGTTCGGAGCTACCACGACCGGAGGATTCGGTACCACAGCTACGGACGCATCAAATCCGTTTGGCGCGAAGCCTGTAGGCTTTGGCCAGACTGGAAGCCTGTTTGGCCAAACGAACGCCACGAGCGCAGCACCGGCATTTGGGCAAACAACGACTGGCTTTGGTGGTTTCGGTAGCACCGCTGGCTCAACCACTCAGGCAACGCCGCTTTTTGGAGCAGCTACAACTAATGATCCCAATAAGCCCGCCTTTGGTCTCGGTGCTTCGGTGTCGCAAACGAATACAGGTTTTGGAGGCTTTGGTGCGCCGGCAACTAGCACAGCAGGCGGCGGTCTTTTCGGGTCCAAGCCGGCCACGAGCTTTGCGGCACCTGCCTTTGGCGCCAGCTCCACAGCAAACACGGGCTTCGGCAACTTTTCGTTGAGCAACACTAATGCGGGCACCGGAGGCGGCTTGTTCAACTCAAATCTCAACAAGCCAGCAACCTCAGCCTTTGGTGGTTTCGGATCCACCTCATCGGCGCCGCTCAATTTTAATGCCGGTAACACTGGCGGTTCCCTGTTCAGCAATGCTAGCAAACCTGGTGGCGGACTTTTCGGTGGCACCTCTACCCTTGGTGGAGCCACTGGCACAGCTACCACTGGAGGCGGTCTATTTGGCAACACCAGCCAAGGTTGCTTTGGGTCGACATTGGGTGGCGGCTTTGGTACGCTCGGCGGTGGCGCTAATACGGGTCTGTCGGGCTTAGGCGGCGTGGGTGCGGCTCCTTCTGTCGTCATGGTGCCTATACATCAGCAGATTCTATCCAAGGTGACGTCGCCGTACGGTGATACGCCAATTTTCAAAGATTTGAAGCGTAACGATGACGTGGACGCCACACGTGCCACCAATCCCGCCGCTCAGCAGGCGGTACTAGACATGAGCAGTAACCAGTTCAAGGTAACCAATAAGGATGGACCATCCAGCGTTCGAGTAAAGGCGCTGGGCACCACCAATAATCGCAAGTCCATGTTCGAAGGTCTGGAAGAGTTTGACGCTAGCGTAGAGGGTTTCAATCTTAAGCCCAACGTTAAGCGGCTAGTGATAAAGCCCAAAGTAGCGACACAGGGGCCTGCCACAGGCGAGGATAACAGTGCTGCCCTGAGCAATGGCAACAGTAACAGCAACAGCGGCAATCCAATAGTGGGTGTAGTACGTCCGCAACGAGAATCATTTACTGGTGCCATACCCAACGAGCCGGCACAAACCGGAAATGGCCAAACCTCACCAACAGCAAACAAAGCTGATCAGGACAGCAGTCGCCGTGAGTCGTGGCTGCATCCCAATAACTTGGCAAAGGTGCGCCAGCACAATCTACAGACGGGTATGGATCAGGCACCTTTAAATAGCACCCTCACGGAGTTGGTACCACGCAAACCCCTTGAAACCTACAAAAACGCAGCGCCAACACGTCTCTCTGTATCTACAATACCGGAGAATCCCTTTGAGGATCAGGCCAGCAGCATTGTGCGACGGGACACTTTCAGCTCGGAACATGGAAATGACACTACACTGTCCATACGCTCCATCGATTCGGAGCAACGCTTATCCGTTGAGCCAACTGTCGAAGCAGAAATCAATGCTGACGCTGACTATGAGCCCCACCCAACGGGCATTGTGCTCCGCCGTGTGGGCTACTATACCATACCTTCCCTGGAGGACCTCAAGTCGTATCTAGCCGAAGATGGGTCCTGCGTGGTGCCCAATTTTACAATTGGCCGCGAGGGTTACGGCAACGTTTACTTTGGCAAAGAGCTTGACGTGGCCGGCCTCAATCTGGATGAGATTGGTAATTCCTTGTTTACTTGTTTACGTTACGCAAAGGAATTTAATCATCTTTTTTACTTGCTCCGATAGTACATTTTCGCAACAAAGAGGTCATTATATATCCGGATGATGACAATAAGCCACCCATTGGCAATGGCTTGAATCGTGAAGCTCAGGTTACATTGGACCAGGTGTGGCCATTGGACAAGACCAAACATGAGCCCGTCAAGGATCCACAGCGCTTGCTCGAAATTGACTGGGAGGGCAAATTGCGCCGCGTTTGCGATAAGAATTCAACACGTTTCATTGAATATAGGCCAGAGACAGGCAGCTGGGTGTTCCGCGTCAAACATTTCTCAAAGTACGGTCTGAACGACAGCGATGAGGATGACGATGTGCCCGCGGATCCTAAAAAAGCCAAAACAGCTGCTACGGATGCGCAACGTACAGCTGCCACTGCCATCGATAAAGTGAGCTTGACCTCGTTGCACAAGTCCCAACGGATCTCGGAAGAGGCTGCACGCAACATAGATCCAAAATCATTGGCCGCCGGCGTTGCCAGCGGCTTCCGCCCCATGGACAACTCGGCGGAGTTTCTAATGATAGATAAGACGCGTAAGTAGCTAGATCATAATTTGCTGATCGATAGTCATTCAAATTGTATTTCTGCTTGCTATTTCCCAGAGTTCTTTCAGGCCGGCAGTGGCGCGGATTTTACAATGTTTGATGCACCACGTACTGTGCCTAGTCCAACCGCTGCTCTGGCCCAGGATATTGTAGGCAAAGAACCGCACAAAATGCAGTTGATGAAATCATCACTGTTCGTAGAAGATCAAGGCAGCGACGATGAATTAGGTATGAAGAAGTTTCAAGGATCTCAATCCATCAATCTATAATAAAATCTCAAAGTATGGACAGAAGAGACCTTGATAATAAACTATATCTCTTTATTATCTAATATTGGTTTGTACCTCAAAGATGCACAGCCAAAATTGAATCCACCTCAGGTGAAGCGCACCCCCAATTTGTTTAACAAGGATACATATCTGTGGAAGGAACCGGCTGCATCGGAGAGCTCAAGTGATTATGGTCGACAATCACCACTTTTGGCCGTCTCGTCATCCGCTTCAGTTACCAGTATAATCCGCGACGTCCAATCGGAGGAGGTAAAGACATAATTCAATTATAGTATCAAATTATTATAATATACGTATTTATATCTCACTTTTAAATATTGATTATTGGTTATCCTTGCAGGCTTCATCGGTGGTACCTGACAGTGTGAAGCCAGCCCAAAAGAAGACCCCAGCAACATCTTTGGTTGGCCCCAAACCATTCGACTTTGTCATCAAACCCAAAGTGGCACCGATTAAGGTTTTTGGCTCAGTAGTACCGTTGACTCGATCCATAGCATATGGTCACTACAATCACTGGATTGCTGATCTCGGCTTCTACAAAGGACGAAGCTTCAAGCTCAGCTTTGGACCACAAAACACGTTAATGGTACCCAACACGCTCAACAATCTACGCAGCATTCATGAGAGTAAGTGCACAGATATATATTTTCACGAGCAATATATAGTACAACTATATATTTTGTCTTATAGTCAATAACAAGATGCTGCCCGCGGCGCTCGTGTTTCAGCCACGAGCCTCTAACGATTTATCGTCAAATGTGCTACTGAGCATAAAGTTCAACACGGTGGATATGTATACTCAGTTTGCTGAAAGCATTGTGCCACATTTGGAAGTCCAACTGCAAGATTGCAGCTTCAACAAGGTGGAAGGCAGCGGTTGCCCCTGGCTGCAGTCCAACAATGGAACAAAACTGATTGCCAAGCACCTGGCTGAAGCCATTAAGCTGAACAATACCAGCACCATGGCTGCCTATGGTGTGTCCGTGTGGTCGCTTCTATTTGCACTGTGGGGAGAGCATGATGAGCTCATTGGACGGGATGACAATTCACATTATGTGATCATGTGTCGGCGCAATCTGCTTTCGGAGTGGTTGGAAAACACGCTGGTCAGCAAAGACCTGTTATCAAAGAAGGTCAGCAGCAATAGCTATCTAGAGCACATGCTGGAATTGTTAAGCTGCCATCGTGTAACCGAAGCTTGTGAATTGGCTTTTAAATACGATGACGCGTACTTGGCTTTGATCCTGGCACAGCTTAGCTCTGGTGCTGTGGTGCGTCTACTCATGGAGGAGCAACTGTTTGCTTGGCAACAAAGCAAATCCGATAAATACATAAGCTTGGAGCGTATCAAAATGTTCATGTTGGCCGCAGGCGTGCCACTAATGATGTCCTCGCATGGCCCCATAAACCTGCTTGAGGACGGTAACTGGCTGAACGTATTGGCATTACAACTATGGTACTTTACTGCGCCCACATCGACAATAACTGATGCCTTGCTGGAGTACGACAAGGCCTTCCAAGCCGAGGAACTCTACGCGGATGAACCGAAACCCAGTTACAGTGGCACTCCCTACAAGAGCAAGAATCCTGTTTATGATCTACGTTACCACCTGCTGCAGCTCTTCTCCAAGCGAAAGCATTCCTTAGAGCAAACATTGAATCCAATTACACATACCTCCGATCCAATGGACTTTCGGCTGAGGTAAGCTCTATTATTAGTAGCTTTAATAAATAGTTAATAATTTATCCATCATTTGTAGCTGGATGCTGCTGCAAACCTTGGAAGCACTAGGCTATACACATTGCAGCCCCTTGACAGAGGCGCAGTTTCACGTGGACTTTGCCAGCCAGCTAGAGAACGAGGGCTTGTGGCAGTGGTCCGTATTTGTGCTATTGCATATCAAAGATCGTAATCAGCGTGAACGCGCTGTGCAGCACATACTGCAACAGCATGTCAGCCTAGACGCCAATGTGGCACTGAGCGATGAAGAGCAGTTTGTCATCCACCAATTGGGTGTACCGGAAACTTGGGTGGATTATGCTAAGGCTCTAAAAGCAGGTGCCAACGGCCAGCGCCACATGCAAGCAAAGTATTTATTAAAGGCTAAGCACTGGGTATTAGCCCACGAAATCATCTTCCAATATATTGCACCAGATGCCGTGATAAACAGTAATTTTAAAATATTTTTCAATATTCGTTATTCTTTATGTTAATCTAAAATTTTATTACAGGTAATTTGCAGTATTTGTACAATCTGTTGAGCCAGTTTGAGTCAACAGAGAGCACCGTCAAAGTGCCAAACTGGACAAATCAGGGTCAGATATTTCTGGATTACATTGATATTAACGAAAAGTTCAAGCACATACACAACGTCAGCAGCGTGGAGGATATACAAGCGCGTTGGGAAAATCTGAAGCCACAACTCAGTGAGATTTGTTCGCGTATTAGTCTGCTGCCATGCCCCACAGCCAAGCATCGTCTTTGCCAGAGCGAAATAGCGAAGAGTTTGAGCTGCTTGGTGAATGGCATGTGCATAGTTTGTCCTGAACTGGAGCCATGTGTTGTATTAAAAATGGCTTTAGAGCGTTTGCCCATGCCTCAAGAGTTTTCCACCAAAGAGCTGAACAATTTCCTCGATGAGGTGATGCAAAAGATACAGAGCCAGCGACCATTCACGGAATCGGAAACAGTGCCACTCCGCACCACCGGGCCCATATTGATGCAAAGCTAAAAAATAAGGAAACATTCATAGATAGATAAGCATGGAAAAATTTAAAAACAGACGATATATAGTTTAGCCAACCAATAAATTCAATTAGAGTTAATATATATATATATAGTTTTACATATAAAAATGCGCATGGAGTTAACTGTTATGACAAAACAAATATAAATAATTGAGAAGAAAAAGGAAAATTTTTGTAAAGTAAGCTACGTTTCGTTACAAACCTCAACTATAAATGCTATCACTTAATTTTAGTTATTTGTTCACCATTTAAAATAGCTAAGATGTCAATAATTATTAACTACGTATTTTTGATAAACAATAAAATTGATCTTTGTTTTAGTCGGTTAAAGTTAAAAGTGAATTATGTATGTATCGGTAAATATTAAAGTTAATTTAACAACTTTCATAACCAAAACAAAAACAAAATCATTTATTTATTGGAAGCTCAACGGTTTCATTGTTGGTCAATAACTAAAAACTAGTTCGATTCAACTGGCTGTGGATCGATTTTTTAGATTTTGTACAAAGACTACGCGATGATCATCGGTATCGACTGAGATCAAGCTTTTAAAAGCCCCGATTAGATGTGGTTCGCACCTGTGGTGCGTGAGACCTTTAGCTGTCCGATTAGTCGTCGATGGACTTTTGATAGGAGTGCAGCGTTTGTTTAATTGGATTATAGTAAAGAATTACTAATGACGGAATCTAAGCAAAATTCATGGTGTGGACGCCATGACAAGCCACGCGAGTTTGCCAAGCATCAGCCCATCATATGCTATGACAAGCCGGCTTCCGCTCTTGTTTCCAAAGAAGAATACGATGTACATATGTTGCAATTGAATTTTATCAAGTAAATAATGAGGATCGTATTTCAGAATAAACGCTATGAAGCGTTAACTGGCGAGCTCGTGGAGACATTGGTGGTGCCCAAGCGTGAGGCGCGCACCTGGACCATGCTAACAGGTGATCTGTGCCGCATAACAGTGCACGAGGGCTCCCAGGTAGGGGATGTCAATTTCTGGAACTTGGACAATCGCCAAGAACGCTTCTATTCGGGAAAAACACGCCAGCTGCACGGAGCACATCTGAGGGTGTATGACAGATTGTGGAGCTGCCTGCCCTACCTGCGCCCCATGGCCACCTTCGTATTTGACACCCTTGCCCAATATGGCATCGATGAGGACGGCGGCGCTCTGCACGATGTTATCGGCACTCGCTGTGACGACTACACCTACAAGCTGATCACCGGGCAAGAGCGTGTGGGCAGCTGTCACAGCTCCCTCGTCAAAGCTGTTGTGGAGGAGCGTGGCATGACCGAGCAGGATGTGCACGATGTATGGAATATTTTCATGTGCACTGGCTTCACCAGAGACACTGAACAGTATTTCTGCAAGCCCAGCCCCGCCCAGAAGGGCGATTTCATTGAGTTTATTGCCGACATGAATCTGTTGGTGGCACTAAGTGCCTGTCCCCAAGGTGATGTATCCATTCCAGTAGGTGTTCAAGTGCCCGACGAGAAATGTCATCCATTGAAAGTTGAGATATTTCGCAAAAAATGATTGAAATTATTTATTTATTTTTAACAGTAAACTAAAGAATATAAAGTGTTATGCAATGGTATAGTATTTCTAACAGCTTGAGTTTATTATTTAAAATGATTTAATTATAGATTGGTTTTACTCTGTAATTATTATACACCATATAGTGTATTTAATCTGGCAACAGATTTACCAAATATTAAAAGATTCTTATTTCATTACAGAAATCGAATTTCCCTTATATTTCGTGATTAATCCAATTTGAAGTATCTGTACATTCGCTTGGAATTTCGCATTTGTCATTTGCATTCCATTAAGACCTAAATTCAAATTGGAATCGAGGTTTATACTATCACTATGATACTATGAAAGCCGAGTAATTATTTTCTTAGGCTTGTGTCATTACAGCATTTAGTATTTTATCTTTGGTATTTTATTACATTTAATTAGATTATATGGTCGCACTGAACACTGATTAGTTTGTCAATGTTGGAAAAATATATTAAAGCCGCTCCATAATGTGTGAAATTCGCGGCAAGGACAACCATGAGAAGCTTCGCAATTACATACTTAATCCGGATATATCCATTCATGATCCGCTGCCCGATGTTGTGCCACGTAAATTTAATGAAATGCGCCTGTTGCACATTCCCAAATGCCCGGGAAGTACAAAACTAATTCCACGTAGGGACTTGGTTACCGGCGAAATACTCGAGTTCGTTGAGGTTGATGTGGAGGATGTGGGGGCCAATGCCAATAATTCAATGTCCATGCAGCGTGAGCCGGGTCTACTGGAAGAAATAACGCGAGGCTCGCCTATGAACTATCCTTTCTGGCCGGGTGGCTTCGATGTCAAAAAGCAGAAGTTGGAGATTGCTAAGCTCGATTTGGATAGCTTTGAACTTGGTGAAAAGTTGCTAACCGTGCCGCCGGGGTTTTCAAGTGGTCATGACTTCTCATTGGACACAAAAAAAGTTATGAAAACGGCTACCACCACCGCTAGCAATGTGGATTTACTAGAGAATTTAGAGGAAGACCTCGACGTACAGCAGTGGCTGCAAATAACGCGAAGCGATAGCGAAGCCACCGGCACAAGTGCGCCGCAGAGAGATCTTCAATTTCCAGCAGAGTTCCAAGACGTCGATGATGATATTATGAACGCAGACCTGAAGCCCGTCCTGAATATATCGACGACAACGAAAACATTCAGCAGTGACTGGGCAGAAATGGTAGACATCAGCCAGCCCATCACCAACTTCAAGGAGCAAATACCCTGTCCAGCCATGGAGTTTCCCTTCGAGCTTGATGTATTCCAAAAGCAGGCTATTCTTAAGCTGGAGCAACGTCAATATGTCTTTGTGGCAGCGCACACATCAGCGGGCAAGACCGTGGTGGCCGAGTATGCCATTGCATTATCCAAGCGGGATCTGACGCGCACCATTTACACGTCGCCCATCAAGGCGCTATCCAATCAAAAGTATCGCGACTTCCGCAAGACCTTCAAGGATGTTGGTCTCATAACGGGTGATCTGCAAATCGAGCCAACCGCCTCGTGCCTCATTATGACCACCGAGATATTGCGTTCCATGCTCTATTGTGGCAGCGATATAACACGGGACTTGGAATATGTAATTTTCGATGAGGTCCACTATATTAATAATCCGGAGCGCGGCCACGTCTGGGAGGAAGTCATCATACTACTGCCAGACCATGTCAATATTATCATGCTCAGCGCCACAGTGCCCAATACCATGGAATTGGCTGATTGGGTGGGCAGCACCAAGAAGCGCAAGGTGTATGTCATAAGCACGCTAAAGCGTCCAGTTCCATTGATGCATTATCTCTACACTGGCGCCGGTGGCAAGAGTCGTGATGACATCTTTCTGTTGGTTGATGCCCAGGGTAAATTCCTGCAGGGCAACTACGAGAAGGCTGTAGAGCGCAAGAAGGAAATGCAAAGCAAATCTAAGACGGGCGGACCTAAAAACTACGTAAACAGCAAACAGGATCAGTGCACCTGGATTGGACTGATTGATTTCCTCAAGCGAAACAACAAGATGCCCGTTGTGGCCTTTACTTTGTCCCGCAACCGCTGCGACAGCAATGTGGCTGCCCTGCAATCCGTGGATCTCAATACGGCAGTGGAGAAGGGCTCAGTGCAGAAGTTCTTCCTCCAATGCTTGGCGAAGCTGAAGCCGCCTGACCGCACTATACCACAGGTGCTGGCGCTTAAGGATTCTCTGGAACGTGGCATTGGAGTCCATCATAGCGGCATTTTACCAATCCTCAAGGAGATCGTCGAGATGCTCTTCCAGAACGGCCTCGTCAAGCTGCTCTTTGCCACCGAAACTTTTGCCATGGGCGTTAATATGCCAGCCCGCACAGTCATCTTCGATTCGCACAAGAAGTTCGATGGCACTGAAATGCGCAACCTGAAACCGGGCGAGTATATACAAATGGCTGGACGTGCTGGACGACGTGGTCACGATGAGAATGGCACCGTCATCCTGCTATGCAAAGGTCAAGTGCCACCGTCTATGGAACTGAGGCCTATGATTCTTGGCTTACCCGAGAAGCTGCAGTCGCAATTCATTCTCCGTTATGCCGTTATACTGACATGTCTGCGCATCGAGAGCATCAAGGTGGAGGACATCATGCAGTTCAGCTTCAAGGAGTTCAATCAAAAATTGCAGCTACCTACACAGCAGAAGCAGCTGCAGCTAGCCGAGGCCAAGTTTGCCACGCTGCCCAATCTTGGCGAGCACCTTCAGCCACTGATCTATTTCTATGACAAGTCCGTTGAATACTGGAAGGAGAAGCATCGCATTATGGTTAGTAAGGATGTGGGGGAATGGTTAAATAACCAATAATCCTCTTGACTTTCTTCACAGAAATTTATTTTAACTCAACCGAAAATCCAAAAGGAAATGAAAGTAGGGCGCATCATTTTTATCACTCAGGGCAAGCATTACAATAAGCTGGCCATATTGCTTAATGTTAAGTCCGTGCAGGGCAAGGATACCATCTACAAGGTGTTAGTATTGGATCATCAATTCAAGAGCAACGACTGCGACAACGTAAATCGGGGCGAACTTTACTACAAAATCCTCTCATTGACACCACAGCACAAATTCTTCCATCCGGAGGGCATTGGAGGACACACTGTGCTAGACATCAGAGCCGTTGATATCCTAACGATTACGAAATCAACAATTAAAGTTGATGCCGATGTCATAATACGAAACTGGGAGCAAAGGCAGTTAGAACGCTTTAAGGACTCGCCGCCTAGCGCAACAGTCGTCAAGGCCGTCACGGAACTGCATCAGCTAAACGAAGCATACAATGCCAATCCGGACAGTATCAAGTACATCAATATGTCCAAGGAAATAACCGTAAATGCGGAAACCGAAGTAGCTATGGTGCACTATGTGGATCATCTGGCACGTCAGGTGGGCAACGTGCTGCCACATACCAATGTTGCCGGCTTTGAACAGGAGTTCGCCAAGGTGTACGAGCGTCGTATGTTAGAGATTAACATTGAGGAGTTGCGTTTCAAGAATTCGGCAAAGAATTTAACCCTTTATCCGGATTACTGCAACAAGTTGCAGGTGTTGCGAGCCCTCAATTATATAGATGAGCAGAACGAGGTGACACTCAAGGGCAAGGTAGCTTGCGAAATGGGTCAAAATGAGCTCCTCATTACCGAGTTAATACTCTGCAATATGTTTAATGATCTGGAGCCAGCGGAAATAGCGGCTCTACTGTCGGGTCTGGTGTTTCAGGCAAAAATTCAGGGCGAACCTGTCATCCCAGAGCCACTAAAAAAATGTGTTGCCGCCTTTGAGCAAATCAACGACACCATCTTGGCTGAGGAACAGCGCTGTCAAGCGGCAGTTGAGGCAGAAAATAATTTAAATTTTGGACTGCTTGAGGTTGTCTACGAGTGGGCTAAAAACAAGGTAAGATTTATCTAAATTGATTCCAATTTTGTTTACCAGCTCGTAAATTGCTTTTTACAGCCTTTCGCTGAGATCATGAAACTAACCGAGGTACAGGAGGGCATCATAGTGAGATGTATTCAGCAGTTAGACGAAACACTTCGGGATGTTAAAACTGCAGCCATTCGAATTGGTAATCCCGGCTTGCAGTCTAAAATGGAAGAGGCCTCGGCGGCCATAAAACGGGATATTGTATTCACAGCCAGTTTGTACACGGAGCTCTAAAAAAAAAATCGGAATGAAAATATAAAAGACAGATGTTTGTTTTCCTAAAACTACATATTATGATCATGTCAATTATTACAACTCCAAAGGATACTTATAAAAATGTAAAAATATATGTGTAAAATAATGGGGCGGTTAACGGCGACGGTCGCAAACAGATTTCATCGCGTCTCAGGTTTAAACTTTGGGGGCACCATCATGCCGGTCATATGCTTTTGCTTTTTTGTCTTCTTCGATTTGCCAGCGCCGGATTGAAAATCGTGCCAACTGTTCACACGGCTTTGACGAGATTCCTCAAAATTTTGCTGCCACTCACGATCCGCTTTGACGCGTTCCTCTTCCTCTATTTCGGTTTCGCGCTTTCGCTTTCGCTCCTCCTGGTCGCGCTGATCAAGCTTTTGCCTTCGCCGTTCCATGTCAGCAAAGAGTTTCATTACCATTACGTAAATGGCGTGTTTATACTTGGCAGGATCGTCTTCAGGTATTTGCTCAAAGGATCTGCCTTCCTTTTTGAGCTTTTTACGTTTTTCAGCAATCTATAAAATGTTCGTTCGCATTTAATTGCCTTGAAAACAGAAATGAATGCAATGGACATACCATATGATCTGTGCGGCCTTTGGCTTCCTCGTACACATCCAAACACTTTTTGCGTGTTAGGTCGTTTTCCAATATCTTCCAGGAACGAGCAACAATGTCGAATGCCATTTGAGCGCGCTCCTGGTTATCGGGATTCTTGTCTGGATGTACCAGTATGGAGAGGGTACGATAACGTTTTTTTATGTCGGCCACCTCGGCGTCTGGCTCAATCTGCAGCACCTCGAAAGGATTAAGATTGAAGTATGTGGAACCTGGACGAAGTAAACGATCAATTTGTTGAGTAGGAGTTAGTACTGAATCGCGTTTTTCAATTTCTTTCACCTGCGAAAATAGTCACAAAATCGTTTATTTATGTGTATAAGAAAATTCTGATTTTTTTCGTGCTGCCTTTTGATTAGCCTTTGCCATAGCCGTTCGCTTTTGCGTTGGCGTTCGCCACCGCCAAGCCCACGGCATTGAATAGCATCACGAAACTTACTTCGGTATAGAAGTCCTCGAATGATTCTTTGGAAGTGCCGGGTTGATCTCTCAGCGTCGAAGAGGACATTTTGTGTTTTTTGTGTCAGTTACGTGTTAATTTGTTCCTTTTATAATTTTTCCGTTTACTTTTTGTTAAGAAAATGCACAAAATACAGCCAGTGTTAGCCAATTTTTTCAATTTAAGTGCTGTATAATGCTGTAAGAATGTTAATGTTAAACCACTGTATATAAATATAAATATATACATATGCAGGTATGTATGTATATGCAAAATGTATAAATTTATCGCAAACTAAATTATTAGAAAATTTTGTATACAGAATGACAGCTTCAGATTAATTTTACTTTTATGTATATGACAAATACATTTATCACACCCCAATTCTTTTACCACAAAACAGCTGTTTCTGTTAAGAGTTTCCTTACTTTAGAATATGCATACATACATACATATGTATGTACATGTTCACATATGTATAAGACAGTTTGTGTTAAGACAGGATTTAAAAGTTACAGTGCTTGCATAGAGTGCAAAAGCGCAGCGCGAGATATTGCAAGGTTGTTCAAATAAAATATTCAAATTCAAATGATATTTAAATTGAACCGGCTGTTAACAATACTCAGTAAACATACGTCAGCGTTATACAATAAACAACTGAACAAAATGAGCACGTGTAGTAAATTAGTTGGCGAGCCATCGGATATTGTTTGGATGGACTTGGAAATGACAGGACTGAATGTGGATAAAGATGTGATACTGGAAGTTTCATGTATTATAACGGACAAACTTTTGAATATTAAATCTGAAGGACCCTGTTTTGCAATAAAGCATCCAGAGCATGTTTATGAGACCATGAACGAATGGTCATTAAAGCATCACAACCAATCCGGCCTGGTGGACAGGTGTAGAAGCTCGGATGTGACGCCTGATCAGGCGGAGAATCTGATTCTTACATATCTGAAGGCAAACATACCAAACCGTAAATGCCCTTTGGCTGGCAACTCCGTCTATGTGGACCGTCTCTTTATAAATAAATATTTCCCACTTGTAAATGAGTATTTGCACTATCGTATCATAGACGTTTCTACTATTAAGGAGCTGGCCACTCGATGGAATCCCCAGATTATTGCAGGAGCTCCACGCAAACAGCTCAGTCACCGCAGTCTCGCAGATATTAAGGAGAGCATACAAGAATTGAAATACTATAAGGAACATTTATTCAAATGAATTTTATCTTATAATATACATATATATAAACGATAAGACGAAAATAAACAAATAAATCTGTTTAATTAGTACGAAAATGAAAGCAGAAGCAAAACTCTATGATTAGATATAAAAATACGACAGCAACGAAAAACTCTGCTTCTCAATAAACCCCATTTATATTATTTTGAGCGGGAGAGAAATTATTTGTTTCTTGTTGTCTTCTTGAGGATCGGCTAACTGTGTTGCTCTCACTACCCGTTACCTTTTCAGCTTCAATGCGTCCAGACAAAAAGCTAGCAACCCGTTCCTTTAAAGAGGTTCAGTTGAAGGATATAAAAGTAAATTAATATCAAATTTATTTACCAGATAGCCATTCGAGAGTACCTGCAGGTTACTATAGAAAGCGATCATACGTTTAATTAGAGATTCGGCTTCCTCCTTTGAGATATTCTTGACCTTATCTAAGCGCGTTATAGTTATTATGCGATTGTTAATGCATATTATCTGATGTACAACTTCGTGAGTGGTGTGTGCCAAATGTCTAAAATCAAAATTATCAGTTAGTTCCACCTAAAAATCACAGATTAGTATAGATCCACTCACTTGGGTAAATTGTTGGCAACATTCGCTGTATAGTTAACAAAGTGTACAACGCGCCTGGCTGACTCCCGAGTCAGCAACACAATCAACTGCTCCAATGTGACAGGCCTAGCTTGATTCTCCGGCTCGTCAGCACTTAGATATCCCCATAGTTCCTTTGCCTTTTGCATAGCCAGCTTCGGATCGGTGGCAATCTATGGAGAATTTAAATATATGCATATGTATGTGTTAATGCATGTACATATACGTATATGAGAATCTGTACTAAGATTCATTTATCGGTTAAGTAGTTTAAAACTTGATTTTTTTTTAAGGTTAAATTTTCAAAGTTTATAGTCATGAATAATAATAGATACGTATTAAACAATAAAATATTGTGTTGTTTCACTTGTACAATATTGCTGTATAGATATGCTTTTCACACACTGTATTAACGATGTACTCGTGCACGCGTATTGCTCGTGCTGTGCGATAGTAATCACGATAATTAAGTAACTCAACACGATTTGTTCACTTACCAATTCGGCCGCGTAGATAAGCACATGGATCGCTTCTTTGCTTTGTTTTTTAAGGGCTCGTGCCTCGGCAAAAGTTCTTTGCGTAAGTCTGCGTGTGAGTTTTCGTGAGAAGCGTTGACCGTGATGAATTGCCTTAATCGCACCCCTCTCGTTCGCCACTGCGCCCGTTGGTTCGTTATCATCGTCTTGAGGCGCTGCAGTGCGGTAAAACAATTTTTAAATATAATTCTATATACATATATGTACATACAATGTACATGTTTATTTTTTGGTAATGTTAAGCCGCAACAAAGCTGCGCGTTATCGTACGACTTATGTATGTACATACATGTCTGTGTGTGCGTTTTTGCGGTCGTCGCTTAGGCAATCGACAAAATGAGAATCAAATAGATTCAAAATTCATATAAAGCTTCGACTGATAACCTCAATGGCCCATCTTTTTTTTTTTTTTTTTACATGAGACATCATCAAGATCTCACTCACCATCTGTCTGATCCTGGTCGGTGTGGATGGGCACAAGGTATTTGTCAACAAATTTGTCGCCTGCCGTAAAGGCTCCATCGATGCGATCTGCTGCATAGGTTGTTAGAGGACTTTCGAGCACCGCATTGCCAATTTGTTTAACGGAATCCGCACGTTTGAGCACAGGTCGCACCAGATGATCCGACATGTACTCCTTGGTATTCCAATACATCTTTAAGCACAAAATAATCGCCTATGTGAGCGAATCTCAAGTCACATTGACATATATGCTTTCCCAGCTGGACTTACCATTTCGGGTGGCAGATAGACAAGCGGTATACGCTGCTCCAATATGTCTAGGCTTTTGCACATCACATTGTCTAGTCGTTTGATGGGCATCTCGAATAGCTTCACAGCCGGCTGGACCGTCTCGTAGGCTGCACTAATTGTGGCCTCGGCCGTCTCAAAGTACCAGCTGAAGAGGCGATTGTTGTTCTTGACTTTGTCATAGATGTGCTCAACACGTTTAACGCTTGACTCCACCAACGGAATTGATGTAATGCGATCGATGGCCTCCATATGTAATCCAGCGACCATGACTGTCGTTTCATCATATTTAACATTTCTCAAGCATAAGCATAATTAAATATTTGAAAATATTACTTACCTATAATATTTGATTACGAAAAAGAATATAATCTACAGATTATTTAATGTTTCACAAGTGTTTCCTTTTTGAAATATGTACTTGGATTAGTTCTTTACAACTGGGAGAGCGCACTTCTCTTTTAAACGAGCTACGATTAAAGACTGCGCCAAATTTGCATTGATCATTTCATAGACATTATGGATGACGAGTAGATCGTCATGCTCAGATTGACCTTTACCGCCTAGTGATAAGGACGGCGCGATCCGCCTAGAGAAGTGTGTACCTAGACTCTACACTTATCAACAACATGCCATTTGTAGAAAGTTAAATAAGTTCCAAAGTGCAATCGAAACGGATTCCAATAAACCCAATCAAACAGGGACTCCATAAATGCAAGTATGAATCATTTCGATTGCCCAAATATTCGTTTATCTGAATCCATATTAAAACGATGCTAGAGCATAAAGTCCAGTTTAATGGGATTTCGCACCGTGTGTGTTAGAGTGGTGTTAGTCATGATTGGCGGGGGTGTTCGTATCGTTAGGCGTGCGACAATTGGACTACCACAGATAGCAGCTGTCTGTTTACATTAGAAGCATCAGACGGTGATTCTATTGTTTTCCCACAGACGTGCATAGATTGTATTTGTTGCTAAGCTGTGATTTCTGTAATCAGCCAGACATTTTTATTACTACATAAAGCGGTTAACTGCAAATGTAATCTAAGAATATGTCTGGGGCTCGTCTGTTTTGTCAGGACAGGCTCAAATTTGATCTTTGGACACAAGCTTGTAATTTGAACTGTAACTGAATATGTAAATAAATCAATTAGAACTAGTTCAAAAAATACGACAAGTGCTGTAAAATGATTGGGAATACAGTGCTGTAAAATGCACGCATAGCATTTGGTAAATTTGTTTGTTGCGTGTTTTCTTTGCTCAATTTGTGTTGAATATTAGTTTGTGTGATTTGCGTAGTGGTCGTTTTTAGTTAATATAATGTTTATAGAAAACTGAATATATTTTACAAGTCTTAAAATGAATAAATATTTAGGATTGATGTGCCTTTTAGGCCTTTCAAGCCTAGGTTCGTACAGCAACTTCAGCTACAGCCAAGCCACACCCAAGTGTCAAAGCGAGGCTTGAATGTGATTCATATAGAATTTACTAATAGAGTCGCTACCGAATTATTAATTACAGCGCATGCACAATACAATGAGCTGGAGCAACGCAACTGCATTATACCGAAAATACTGCAGGGCTCATGGTTTTCATGGGAAGTGGGTTTGCCTACCCAAACGATTATTGATGCTACATCAATGTCGAGGCGTGGCTACTGCATCAATTACCAACGACATCACGGCGATGAATACTCGTTTGTGTTTAAGGAACGATCCGCCAACTGCTATCATTGCGTGCGTACAATAATACGTACGCTCAACATCTTTGAGAAGTTCGAGGGACCGTGTGTTGGTTTGCCACCTGGGCAGGAGCCCACGGTGAACAATGTTTGTAAGGGAATTAAGGATGATCAGCAGTTAATAACACTGTTCAATGAAAACTTTGTACCAATTAATTGTCGTTCGTCTCTTGAGGGCGTTTGGCATTTTACATATCAGGCAAGTTTTTGTTTTATTGTATAATTAATATATTTTAATTTTAATTTGTCGACTTTTAATTTTAATTTAATCTGCTCTTAGAATCGATTCCGCTTTACGGGCGTCTGTAACAAACCAGATGCACGCATCCAATCGTGCCAGACTGCTGGCACACAATTTCTTATCCAGAATCAAAAGTTTAACATTACTTATCAGAAGTGTGAGGGCATGGAGGGCACGTTTACTGGAACTGTGGAGTTTAGCTGTCTCGGCGATTGGTTTGTGGGAAAGAATCATTATTTTGCTGTTGCCAATACAAAGGAATCACGTAAGGATGAAAAATACCGTTGCTTCCTCAAGAATCGAGATGATGATCTGTATGTGGGTGTCTCCATTACTGCTGAGTGCAACACTCTAAAGACGCCAGAAAACTCGCCCGAGCGTCTTAAGCTAACACCAGTGAAGGCTGAGTTTGTTGAGCCTGGTTGCACACTGCCTCAGAACTTTTCTGGCGAATGGGTGAACACGGCCAACATTGATGCCGATGTGTCCATTAGTGAAACACACATCAATGAGACATATTATCCGGATAGGGCTCGATACCGGAAGACAATTTACGTGTGCCGTGAACGTCGTGGTAATCGTGTTATGATGGCGCGTCTTACTGTTGATGGTTGCCAAAAGGATTATGTTTGCTTTGACTTTATGCCCAGGCACCACAATATCATACGTTATCGTAAGGGCTTAGCTGTTATTAAGGATGATTTCAGTACAGTTTGCTCCTGGGTACAATTTCCAAACTCTGAGGCATGGAAATATGATTTGTTCTTAGCGAAAAACCCAGTACCCGTCCGCTGTCCAGTTGCTGGAAAGTTTAATTTCACACAGAGGGGCGAACATCCCTTTAAGACAAGGTGAGTTTATAATTGAATAACATTTGAGGATATGCGACTTATTCAAAGAATATTCCAGAATCCTTGGTGGCGTTACACTGAGTCCTCGTCCAGATATCCACTGCAAGCAAAACATATCCGACTTATCAGTCTGTGACACAGACCAAAAGGAGTTGGCCGTCGATGAGAATTATTGCTTGTCTGTGGATCATTTGGGACGACCTGTTGATATATACAGTGATCCCGATTACCGTATGAAATGCATTGGCTTTTGGAAGGAAAATCTAAAATCATATCTAATTACTTACGATGATTTGGATCCTCTATCCAAATACCGTTGTTGGGTGTATCAACGTGCTGATCTAAACCGCGTACTAATGTCGCAGGCTGTAGGCGCATTTTGTAAACTAAACCAAGACGTTACCTCATGGAATCACTCCGAAGGCGCTGCAGTCGCCATTGATGCCGTTGAGTACGAACGTGAACGCGATGATTGTCCTATGTATTTCGACGATGGTTTGAATCCTTGGAGACCATCAGATGCTTCAAACATTGTCTTCGAATGGGACTTTTACAAAGCTGGCGCAGATCATTTGGCTTACCCTAGTTTTGTCTTAGGTATTTCCGGAATTTTTATGGTAGTTACATTTTTAGTCGCTTAATAAGTGTAGAATAGGTTTTACAGTACCGTCCATCCATGTTTCAGTCTAGAAAACTATAGCATTATTTTAAAATGTGCCTTTGATATTTAATCAAATTATCGACATTCTTAAACAAAATGACAACATATCGTTCTAGTTTATAAGTATCCTTTTTACATCCGTCCACAAACGAATCTCAATGTTCTGTACAAACAAATAAAGCAGTCCAATGCACTTTTAAATGTTTGCATTTTCTTTTAACAATTTTTGCAATATTAATATAATTTGAATTACCAAATAATATTCAAACAGATACAAATGTCGGGCCGAGCCGATAACACAATCGATAGTTTTCCTTACCGATAAGCAGTAGGCATGAAACTTTTCAGTGCTGTAAAGTAGTCTAAATGTCGGTAGTTGACTGTTCGAGCCAATAACAAGTGTTTTTATATTTTCTTCAAAACTTTGATCTTGTAATACAAACATAAAACATGTTGTCTTCTGTACTTCTGCGTGGTGCAGCTCGCGGTAATGGTGAGTATAATATTCAATTGCAAATGGATATTTATCTCACCTGACAAATGTTCTCATTATATAACGGCATCGTACGACACACCGACAGCTGCAACACTTATTAAATCCGTGCGTGTCTCGCCATTGAAGGCTTACTCCACAATTGTGGCCAATACGCAACGCCAAGTTGGAATCAAACCTCTGGCGTTGGCTAAACAAATTTCGGTACTTATTAACAAGTCTGTTATGATATATATATAATCACCTATCTAACTTTTCAGCCCATCGTGATGCGCGAGATTTCGGTGAGCGCTCCAAGAATGGCATCTGCAACTGGCAGTCACACTCGTCTATGGACTATTGAACGCGTATTGTCTGCTGGTCTGCTGGCAGTTATTCCAGCAGCGTTCATTGCTCCTTCGCAAGTCATGGACGCCCTTTTGGCTATATCTGTAGTCATTCACACCCATTGGTAAGATGCGTGGATAAGAATTCGTGATATAATATGCCTAACCATTTTTTATAAATTTATAGGGGTGTTGAGGCAATGGTGGTGGATTACTTGCGCCCATCAGTTGTTGGTAATGTTGTGCCAAAAGTTGCTCACATTGCTCTCATCTTAATGTCAGTAGCCGCGTTGGGAGGCCTGTTCTATTTCATCAAGAACGATATTGGTTTGGCCAATGGAATCAAGCGCTTCTGGGCTATCAAGGGCAAGGACACCAACCAGTGAATGGATAGCCCACTTGTTTATTGTGTATACCCATTCGGCATTTGGGTCTTAGTCATTAGCGGTAAATTAAAATAACTTGTAACACAAAAAAAAAAAAAAGGCTCACGTACACAACAAACTTGTATTGAAAACTTTTACTTAATGCTAATTAGTCTGGTAAAGGCAACAAAAATAAAAACGTGCGCCATTTGTTACGCAGTGAATATAACAGATCAGTCAGGGCTGGGTCATGACTGGGGCTCCACGTTATTTGCATAGAATATTCTCAGCGCATCCCATTGTTTGGTATGCAGTAAGATATGTGGTCGACATTGACGCATGTGGTCAACAGCTTGATCTGGGGTCCAACCGTTTTTCTAAAAATAAATACACACAATTAGACAGAAACTTTGATGCGTCATCAGATGACGGCTCTTTTTAAATCGTACCAGCATGAGGTAGCATCCCACCAAGGTCGCACTCCGTGTTCGCCCTGCTTTGCAATGCACATAAACAGAACCAATATTCTCAGCATATTGTGAGGAATCGAACTTCGGTATGCGTTTTGAGAGTGGCAAAAAGCGGTTTATAAACTCAACGCCACGGTAGAGTTTTTCTTGATTAGGTGATTCGAATATATCTGTGGTGGCCAGTTGTAAAAACTCAATACCGAGAGCCTTCCATTTGGCTAAGTCGTTTGAAAACGCAGTAAGTTCGTAGTCTTCATTCATTGACACGACAGCTTTCATGTTTTCCTTTTCAATTAACTGTTGGCCAAAAATAATTCCTTGTGATTAATCATTTAAGTTTTGGAGCTTAAACAGCTACTAATTTGTAAGCTATTACAATTTTAATACAATTATTTACGAAAAAACAAACATAACTTACGTCATTTGCTTGGCTTCTGAAGGGCAGCGCTCCCAGTATAACATTTTCATCAATACGATCGTACCAATTCCTTGCTGTTGCTTTTTCCATGAGCACATTGTAGAGCAGCGTTGGATAAAAGGAGATCCGTGCAAACATTGCCGCCTTTATTATACACAGTTGGGAGAGGAGAAGTTAAGGATTAGTACTACGTTTTCGGGTCTAGCGTATGGGCTGCAACAGCTGGAAACTTTCACCAGCTTACGACGTTTAGCATGAATAACCTAATGCGTGACTGTCTGAATCGGTTGGAGCGCGGCTTGGAACTGGTTTTATTGACGCTGTTGAACGCAATGCCAGTATGTGATACCTTGCAGTCGCTGCCGTAACTTACACTCATTTCCATGCTTTTGTGTTGCTTCTTGGTTCAAAAGATCAATGAGTCACAACTAAACAATGCTTCCTTGTATATTAATTAGTATATTCATAAATTATCACTCTTATTTTCGTGCTGCCGCTTCAGTCATTTGCATTATGAAATGGGACAACAATAAAAGGCTAGATTATCTTTGTAAAACTTTCTAGCACTGGAAAAATCGTAGAGGTGTGCATACCCGTATATCAGTTGTAGCTGCCTAGCCAGCTATCGCGATGTGTTATCAACATAAAAATAACAACCCATTAAATTGTTACATTATATATATTCAAATAGATGCATGACATGTAAGTTTTATTGAATTAATTTGTTTATGCACTTTATTTTAGATCGAAAATTAGTTTCAATAGCATTTCAAAATTTGTTACTCTATCAAATCAGCTGTGATAGTTCACTGATTTCACATTACATTTTTGCTCATCTCTGTCCATGCGGCGTTGGTAACACTAGACAGCAATTATTGTTGCAACAAATGAAAGGTTCTTTAATCTTACGTGTGAAAATAATATAAGCTGTCAAAAGACAAATAGGACAACACATAAAGTTGCTGCACTGTTGAAAAATGCACCAGCAATAAAACGGACTGGAAGCACTAAGCCCTACCAAACGGTGAAAAAACAATCAGTGTGTGCACAAAAAAAAAGTAAATAACACACGTCAGACCTTAAAAAACAAGAAAATTTCAAGTATATTTAACATTTATCTTTTTACTGCAAACGTAGAGACACGTTCCTCACGATGAGACTGCCAAGCATGATGAGCATTTTGCTGCTCCTATTCCTCCAATGCAGCCAGCTGTTGCGGGCGGAGTTGCAGGGCCCACTCTCGGATATCGCCAGCGCGACAGCAACAACCGAACCCACGGATGCACATAGTCAATCCAATACCGAAGCAGATGAGATAACGACAGCCGGGAAAGATGCTAAAGTCCCTCCCATGGACCCATCATCGTCAGCAACAGCACCTGGGAGCAATGACCGTAAAGCGGCCAAACTTAAGGATACCGAATTTGCTCCCCGTACAAAAGTAATGCCAGCTGCATTGTTTGAGCGCCTATGGAATGACAGTCTATTGAAACAACAAAAGCTAAAAGCTCAGATTGAAGCAATTGAAGCGAGAACAAAACCTGCTGAAATAGTCGAATTGACTCCCGAGCAAATTGAAGGTATGCTATTCGAATAGCCCAAATATTCCAGTGGGCTAATATTTTGTTCTATTGCAGCTCAAGGTTTTTACGAAAATGCGATGGAAATGTTGGCCAAACCGCGGAGTGATAAGCGCGTCGCTTTAACATTGCTTCGCAAGGCAGCCGCTTTTAATCATCTCAAGGCACGTGCTGAACTGGCGTGGTCCATGCTCTTGGGTCATTGGATGCCATTTGATTTTCACCATGCAGCAGAAGAATTTGAGGCCTTGGCAAACGAAGGAGTGCCTGAAGCTCATTTGGGTCTTGGATTTTTGTATTCAGTTGGAGTGGGTGGCAAGAATGTCAGTCAACCGTTGGCGCTACTGCATTACACCCTTGCAGCACTTGGCGACAATACGCTTGCCCAGATGGCAATGGGCTATCGATATTTATACGGCATCAACGTGCCAACTAGCTGTGAGAAGTCGTTAATACAGTACAAGCGTGTGGCTAAGAAGGTAGCCTCAAAGATAACTTTCGCTAACGGACCTATTGTGCATCGAGTCCGTCTTCTAGATGAGTTAGAAAATCCAGGCAGTCATGAAACTGAAATTGTGGACTATTATCAGCTACTCGCAGATAAGGGCGATGTGCAGTCGCAGGTTGGCTTAGGCCAGTTGTACTACCAAGGCGGCAAGGCAATTCAGCAGGATCACCAAAAAGCATTAGAATATTTCACCCTTGCTGCCAATGCGGGCAATGCGATAGGTTTCGCATTTTTAGGCAAGCTCTATTTGGAGGGTAGCGAGCAAATCAAGGCGGACAACGAAACGGCATTTAAGGTAAGAGAGAAATTATAGACATATATATACAAAATATATATGATTACTGATAATTTAAATACAATTGTAATTTTTGAATTTCAATTCAGTACTTCTCAAAGGCTTCTGAGATGGGTGATCCTGTGGGTCAGAGCGGCCTGGGTCTAATGTACTTAAAAGGTCTTGGTGTCCCTAAAGATTCCATTAAGGCTTTGTCTTACTTTACACAAGCTGCTGATCAAGGCTGGGTTGACGGACAATTGCAACTTGGAACCATGTACTTCAGTGAGTTTTACTTTTATATTTATCAAATGACGAATCATATGTAAAGTTTGTTTTAATAATAGCTGGCAATGGCGTGAAGACAGATTACAAGCTTGCGCTTAAGTATTTCAATTTGGCCACACAGTCCGGCCATGTTTTGGCGTACTATAATTTGGGAATCATGCACGCCTACGGCATGGGCATGTTGCGATCTTGCCCAGCTGCTGTTGAGGTAAATTTGGCAGGTCTTATATAGATTTTTCAATTCATATTCTGTTTCTCAAATATTTTTAAAATATAGTTCTTCAAAAACGTGGCAGAGCGTGGCCGTTGGAGCAGTAGACTGATGCACGCCTACAGTGATTACAAACAGAATCGTGTTGACGAGGCCTACATGCAGTATTCTCTAATGGCTGAAGTTGGCTACGAGGTAGCCCAGAGTAATGCTGCTTTCTTATTGGATCGCGAGGAGGTGCATGTCTTTAATGATCGGCATGAAGATTTGATTCGTGCATTTTATTATTGGAAACGAGCTGCTAACCAGGGTTACTCAGCGGCTCAAGTGAAGCTTGGTGATTACTACTACTACGGCTGGGGTACTAAAACTGACTTTGAAACCGCTGCGGCTCTTTACAGGTGCGTAGCTATGATAAAATTCAATGTCTATCTTTACAATTTTGTTTCTTACATTAACTATACAGGAAAGCTTCAGATCAGCAATACAATGCACAGGCCATGTTTAATTTGGGTTATATGCACGAGCAAGGGTTGGGCATGAAGAAGGATTGGCATTTAGCCAAAAGATTATATGATTTGGCAGCAGAAACAAACTCGGATGCCAAAGTGCCTGTGGCCATTGCGTTATTCAAGCTTCAGATGCTAGCAAAGATTGAATCAATAAAGCAGGTAAGAAAATTACATTTCACTTTTTGTTTTCAATCCTAACCGATGTTATTCAGTCGCCATACAGATTCATCTTTTATATGGATGAAAACATTGCTGCCAATTGGGATTTATATATGATTACCATACTGACTCTGCTGCTTGGCATAATAATGTACACTAGACGACCATTCCAACAGCCAGATCAACCTGCACAGCCTCCCCAGCAATTAGCTAATGATATAGCAGCAGTTCCCGTAAATGCTGCACAAGCAGTTCCATTAGCACCAGCTGCAGCTACAGCTGCAACCACAGCGACAGCGACAGTTTCTTCTTCTGGAACAACAGTCGTAACAGGAGTATCATCCACATCTATAACTACAACGACTGCAACCACGTCTAGCAGCGGAACGTCCACCCCAACAGCAACGACAAGCAGCTCATCTGCAGGGACAAGCAGCAGCAGCAATACACTCGATCCCACTGATTAGGCTTAACAAATTGTTTAATCATCCTAGTTTAATTAGTGACCATGTAAATATTTATCATCTATTTTTTATTATTTCTGAATGGAATTTTTAGATATTTAAAAATCAGAAATATCGTACTCAAAAAATATATATGTGTTGTACTGATAAAACTGCTTATCCATGCGATACGATCCCTAATGATATCTCTCGAATATTTTCCTTCTGTTATATATTTTCTTCATTAATTCTTTAATGTATGAAGATTACAAGTAAATTTATTTTGCGAATATTTAGTCTAAGCATAGTAGTTAAGATTAGCTTTCTTCTTGGACTGCACCTCCATGATAGCATCCATAAAGTCCTCGTGTGTCACCGATGTGGCTGAGCGACGCAGAGCGATCATACCCGCCTCTACACAGACTGCCTTGCACTGTGCGCCATTGAAGTCGTCTGTGGAACGAGATAGTTCCTCGAAATTCACATCGTTGCTAACATTCATTTTACGCGAGTGAATTTGCATGATGCGCGCACGAGCTTCTTCATTCGGATGTGGAAATTCGATCTTACGATCCAAGCGGCCAGAACGCAAAAGGGCGGGATCGAGAATATCGACTCGATTTGTAGCAGCAATGACCTTAATATCAGCAGTTGAGCTAAAACCGTCCAATTGATTTAGCAGCTCCAACATAGTTCGCTGCACCTCGCGATCACCGGCTTTCTCCGAATCAAAACGCTTTGTACCAATAGCGTCCAACTCGTCAATAAAAATAATAGCAGGGGCTTTTTCCTTAGCCAATGCAAAGGCATCACGCACCAGCTTTGCGCCATCACCAATAAACATTTGAACAAGCTGAGGACCAGCTAACTTGAGGAAAGTGGACTTTGTTTGGGCAGCGCAAGCACGGGCAAGCAGAGTCTTGCCAGTTCCAGGGGGGCCATACAATAGGACACCTATGAATCAAATTTTAAATATAGTTTATTGCATTGATTGCAGTGTTAATGAACAGACCTTTTGGTGGATGGATGCCAAGGTTCTTGAACTTTTCCTTGTGCGTCATTGGCAGTACAACGGCTTCGATGAGCTCCTGGATCTGTTTATCCAGGCCACCAATATCGGAATACTGCTCTGTGGGACGCTCATCAACTTCCATGGCCTTAACACGAGCATCGTATTCCGCCGGCAAAGTTTCAAGAATCAGATAAGAGTCTTTATTGACGCCAACTAAATCGCCGGGTTTGAGTTTTTCTGCATCAACCAGGCCAATGACTGGCAAGAAATACGCCTGACGTGTTGAAGTTTTTATAACAGCACATTTGCCTTTGCGTTGGTTATCTAGCACGGTAACGGAGCCGTCATCCTCCTCTTCTTGCGGATCCACATCCAGCAACTCGATGACATTGGACACCAGATATGGCAGAGTTTTATTAACCTAAAATACATTGTATATATATTAACTTTTAGTTTTATTTTAGCTAAAATATTTTGCATACCTTTATCTTTTCCGTATTATCTTTAATTTTCTCGTTTTGCGCTTGAATTTCATGTGTGATCCGCATTACCTCGCTCTTCATTATTTTAATTTCGTTGTCCATCAATCGAGTCCTGCTCACAATCTCATCAGTGGACATTCGCAGCACCTCTTCGCCCAACGATTCCTCACCATCCTCCCATATTGATTTGTCCTCAAGTGTTTGGGCCATTTTAATTCAACTTGTTTTAACAATAAACTTGGTTAAATATAAGTATTCTTATGCCAAGCTGCTTGATTTACTTTGCGTTTCTAGTCGATGACTTGTAAAAATTTCGTGTTTTTTTTTCCAGTATTAACCAAGTTTGACAGATAAATGTGTTGTACAATCATCAAATGATATCGATGCTTCAGCAAGTCTAATGCGATTTAAATATCGATAGTTGGCTGTTTTACAGTACTGCAAAGGCTTCAAGAGAACGCTTTTTTCTTGTAAAATTTTTTAGCAAACTATAAATTACAAACATATATTTCCATTGCCATGTCCGAAAATAATGGTAAGTGAGATAACTATGTTAATAGCTATTATTGGTCGTGCATATGGATCTAATACAATTCCTAGAATGTCAGAAGCTCTGCTAGAGTCAGCCAATATAAAGTGAAGTTCAAGTCAAATACAATATCTTTGCTTGCTTGTGTTTTGTAGAGGCGTCGGTCGAAGCCAACTGCTTCAGAGGTGGTTTTACTTTGAAAGCATCACGTCTTGGCGGAGCTGTGCTGCGACCACCTGTGCTCGGCGACAGTTCTGTAATAAGCTCGGCTCATATTAATACCAACAGCAGCAACAATAGTTCGCCCGCATTAGCCGGCGGAAACGAGAAGACTGATGAAGATGGTATTGTAGGTAATCCGTTTTTACGCGAGCAAAGGGAAGATGAAGATGATGTGGCCGCCCAAGTGGTGGAGTCCACAGAGAATATTGATAAGGATGATGATGAAATCGACGAGCGGCCGGATCCGCTTTCAATGCTGCGCAATAACGGCATTGAGCGCTCCAACATATTTGCTGCAGCGAAAACAACTTTGCCGCGTGTTCAGACAAGTGGATTTATTTTCGGCCAAAACGTGCACGAGCGAGTCGTGGGGGTATGATATACATTTCTATAATGCTTCAAATATATATATGTTGAATGTATTGCAGGAAAATCTGAACACAGAATCGAATACGGAAGCTGCATCATCTGGAACAGCGGAAGCTACCTCATCGCAGTTGCTATTTTCCAGCGTCATTCAGAAAGCTGCTAAATCGACAGAAAACAACAAGGAGACGTCGGAGGCAAAGAGCCTCAATGACGTGGCCCGTGAATACGAGGAAAGCCGTGCTCAGAAACGAAAGTATGAAGAGGTGGAGACCTTTACCGGCGAGGAAAACGAAATCAATATTGCCGATGTTAGCTGCAAGCTATTTGCATTTGTGAACAGCAATTGGGAAGAGCGCGGACGCGGTAGTCTTCGTCTAAACGATGCCAAGGATGAGCATGACTGCTCCCGCGTAGTCTTCCGCACATCGGGCAACTTACGTTTGCTAGTAAACACTAAAGTCTGGGCGGCAATGGTGGCCGAACGCGCCAGCCAGAAATCGCTACGTCTAACTGCCATGGACAATACGGGTACCGTAAAGATCTTTTTGGCCATGGGTCGACCTGCAGATATTGCACAGGTGCACAAAGAATTGAGCGAGCGCATTGCCAAGCGCAAGCTGACGCATCCAGAGGAATGTGCTGTGGTCGAAGCCAAAAATGGCATTTCATCTGAAGCCTGTGCTGTCAACGTACAGCCGGAATCAACAACCAACGATGACGATGAGGATGAAGCTGTGGGTGGTGTGGCTGACCCAATGCCAACCACTGGTTCCACCACAGCCATTGCCGAAGCGGATAGCAACGAGCCAAGCCCAAAAAAGGCGCTCATGCTGGCGGACAGCAGCGTGGATGTGGTCGTGTCAGCGGCAGACAATGATGCTGAGGCAGAACCCAAGGTGTTGGCTGAAGAGGAAGAAGGGGCTTAAAAGATCTGGTCTACGTTTTCGTCTTTTTTATTTTGGTTAAAAAAAAAAAACAAAAAACAAATGCAGAACCACAAAAACTAAATAAAACAAAGTGTGAGTTATTATAAATTAATTATAATAATTTATTAATAATTATTATTATTAAAGTAAAATAAATGAAGTTCCGAATTGAAAGCCCGGGCGCAACGTCTACAAAAGACAATTATCAATTACAACATTCCGTGTTTATTTCACTTGGCACCCTCTATAGTCTCATCTATTAAAAAAACATGAATTTTTTCAACTTTAGTCACTAACACTAATTCGCTTAAGGAATACTTTTTACAAGTTTTTGCGCTTGCACTAGAAATATGTTTGTAGAAAAAATAGGCTCATTATCGTATGCACACACACATATATATACTATATATACCTACATATGTATATATAAGATATACATAGATATATTCGTATTAACTAAATGGAAATTGCAACAACATCGAATCCCAGACTGCGTTATACTTTATACTAGTTTGAACAATTACAACAAATATGTTTATCGCATACGGACACAAAGGGCTTTGGCTTTGGCTATAAACAATCGCTTAATGCTGCTATTGCTGCTGCTGATGTTTGGCCTGGCCAATTGATTAATTACATTTCTAATTATAATCATTAATTCAGTAAGCATTCGTTTCAACAAAATATTTTTAACTTGATCGCCTCACTCGATCTGAGCGCCTATGTACAGGGAGGTAAAAGTGGCGTCAGTTCTAGCTGATTGTGCTGCAACTGGAGACGCTCACGTTGAGCGGATTGTTGGCGCTGCTTACGGCAATGGATGACCTGAAAGTGAAGCCGAAAAACCAATTAGCAAATTTTAAAACCGTGTAAAACGAACATCGCTTCCACCCTTACCGATTGTGACGCATGTGACTCTTGACTAGATCGCTGTTGACCAGCGCTGCCATTAGGCTCAGCTCGCCGGCCATCACGGTGGCGCAAACGATTTGTGCTAGCTTGCGGGCATTGTCGCCGGGATGGGTGGCATGGGCACCACGCACGCCCAACAAATCGAGGCAGGCGCCCTGTCCTGGCAGTCCAGTACCCCCGCCAACGGTGCCCACTTCCAGCGAGGGCATAGTGCAGGTCATATAAAGGTCTTCATTGTTCTCGTTCCAGCACTCCATAGCCGTGGAGCAATTGCTGGACGTGACATTCTGTGCGGGATCCTGGCCGGTGGCTAAGAACACTGCGGTCACCATGTTGGCCGCATGTGCATTATTTCCACCAATGCTGCCCGCCATGGCGCTGCCCGACATGTTCTTCAGCTTGTTGCACTCCACCAGAGTCTTGGCGTCCGTTTTCAAAACTGAACGCAATGTGGCTGCCGAAATGGTGCACTCGGTGACAACACGCTTGCCACGTCCTTTAATCCAATTGATTGCTGCGGGCTTTTTGTCGCAGCAAAAGTTGCCGCTCAACGAAATGATCTGCATGTCGGGAAATTGACGCTTAATGCAGCGTAAAGCCATCTCCGCACCCTTGGACACCATGTTCATGCCCATGGCATCACCTGTCAGAGCCACAAAGCGAATATACAGCTGGGGTCCATCCATTGCTATGTGACATTCCTTCAAACGACCGAAGCGGGACGTCGAATCAAACTCAGTTTTGACCACTTCGTAGTTTTCCGCGCTCTCGATCCACTTCTTGGCTTCGGAGGCACGGGCGACACTGGGAAAACGTACGCAGGGTGCACGCGTCATGCCAACATCTTCCACCACAGAGCGCACGCCGCGCACAGAAAGTGCCTTGCAGCCCCGATTCGTAGATGCCACCAAAGCACCCTCCGTTGTGGCCATGGGCACATAGTAGGTCTCTCCATCTAGCAGCAATGGACCCGCATAGCCAACCGGTATCGGCACATAACCTAGGACATTCTCGCAACAGGCATTCATCACTTTGCTATAGTCGAAATGTTCATAGGGCAACACTTCCAGGCGTGACATTGGTAACTTGGCTCGCTCAGCAATCAACTGTCGGCGAATGCGTATGCCACGCACTGCATCATCCAACACGGACTCAATCTTGTAGAGCGGACAGTGGGATCCACCAGCTTTGATAATGGCAATGATTTCTTCATCACTTAAAACGCTGGCGCCACTAACGCCATCCGATTCGTCGGTGGAATTCAATAACTTCAGGCATTCCTGCAGTGGACGTGGTGGGCGGGCTGGTGGTGTCAGACGCTGTCGCACGGATACCACGTCAGTCTGAGTAGCTGCATTTGTCGAGCTATGCTCCTCAATGCTGAACAGAGGTGTGTGGCTTGGGCTTGGCTTTGGTTCCTCCTCCAGTGGAGTAGTCTGCGAGGCCTTCGCCGTCGTCGATTGATGCAGCTGATTCGGCAAAGTGTCCCGATGGTCAAAGAAAATAAGCTTGATGACAAGGGCAATCAAGACAATGAAGATGACAATGTGATCTGCGCTCATTGTTAGCCATCTGCAAATATAAGATGGGGTCAGTCATATGGATTAATGGTTATATTTCCATATTGAGTACATACTTGATGATAATATCGGTTATTTCGCCCGAGTCCGTGCGATTGTTGTTGACATTCAGATTCAGCGGTGGGGAAAGTGTCTTTTCCACAGCATCGTAGTCACTGCTGTTGAACACAACTCGACTGTAGATGTGCACAATCATTAAACCGGTGGTCATAATAAGCTTGACGCGCTGCAGCACTGGATTCGCCTTCTGCTCCTCCTCGGTGAGAGATTTGAGCAGCAACGAGCCCTTGGCGCGTTCTCTCACGGCTGAAATGTCAACGCCATTGCGCGACAGATCGAATATAAGCGAAAGGCAGGCAGGGTAGAAGGTCATAAAGACCACATAGTTGACGAGCACCGAGAGTACGGCAAACATGCACAGCACCTCCAGTCGCTGCACACCCGACAACGTGCCCACGCCCACCAGCAGCACCTCCACAATGGTGTCTAATGAAATGGTTGGGCCCAACAGCTCCAGGCCTCGTGCTATATTCTGTGTGACCTCTGCCTGGCTGCTGCCTGAGAGCGCCAACTGTGCTAATCGACCCGAGTTCGATAAATCGATAACCAAAAGCAGCACGAAAAGCGCATCCCTACAAACAAATTACAAACAGTTAATAAATCAGGTTCACTCAGCTGCGAGTACTCACTTGAGATCCGATATATCGCTGCCCAGAAACTTAATAATGGCTGTGGTGAATATGAAGCTAGAAAAGAACGTAAAGAGACCGGCGATACCTGCAAACAGACGCAAAAACAAACAGTCATGAGAGCGCACTTAAATGTATAGTTCTAGACGGGTTCGACAACTCCAATTAGGAGCAGAGGTCGTATCACTTAGAGACAGCGTGAGAAATACCGCTAAAATAAAAAAGGCAGCTAAAATATTGGCTAAACATATCTCGAAATAGGGGCCGTCCAGATAAACAAAGCATATTCTTCAGACAGAAGCTAATCATTTGTATCAACACACGCACCCATAAAATCCAACAGCCATGACGCAATCCATCCCCCAATTGTCAGGCACACTTACCTAGCACATATTTGGAGCCGAGCCGATGTAGACTGCAGAACTGGTAGTAACAGTAGAGCACCGCTGTGCAGCGCACAATGGTCATTAGGATCACATCGGCGGCATTGTATTCAGCTTCCAGGCCATCGCAGGACTGGCCCCAACCGTGGCAGGGCCGGTGACGACTCGACGTCGCTGATGACGATGCGCTGGCCATTATGGGCGGCTGCGTACCACTGGCTGCAGACGCTGCACCACCGCTGTTAGCTGCTGCAGCAGCAGCAGCCGCTGTCGTTGCGCTGGTGCTGCTAAGACCATTGGCCTGGTCTAGGGTACTGCCCTTGTCCAAAGTTAGCATGCATGCTGTAATGGTAAGTAGGGCGACAATCACTTCCCAGGGATGCGATGCACAAAACTCGCCGTGGGCGCGAAATAAACGTCCAATCATTTTTGCTGCCGCTGCGTGCAGGAAGCTCGTCCAGGTCTCTGGAGTTGACTTGGCTGACACCACGCTGCTCGATGGTCCAAACACTCTGGCAGCCGGCACTACTGCGCAACTGCGTCCAAGCGCTGTAATCAAAAGGCAAGAAGGCAACCCAGATTAGTCAAATTGCTGTAACAAAGAGTAAGTCAAGGACTAAAGGACACAGGGCAATCAACTTGCCTGTGTCGCATAATCGTTATGCCAGCCGACCGAGAGAAACAAATTAAAAACAAAAACTAAAACAACAAATTTTTATCGATTTCTATTGACACATTTGGGCGTTCGCCCGGGCCCAACGTTGAATTACTTCTCAACGCAATCACAAAGAACGCAAAGCCGCAAAGCAAAAACATATACACATATATGTAGATATATACATATATAGAATCACTACCTCTATATACCCCAGAGAAGCTGTTTTTGCATTATCGCAATAGATTTCTCTTAAAGAAGCTTAAAATTAAATATTAAGTCAGTCACTGTTTAACATTTTTCATTTTAAGTCGCAGTTGGCGAATGAGAAGTTATTGTAATATTTACTTTATAAAAAAGCAACTGTGACTCGCTGTCGGCAACTAAATTATCATGTATGTTAATTAAATTAAAATGTTTATTCGCCTTTTACTCATTAATCAATAATAATTATCAAAAAACCGAGAAAATAATAAGGTTGGCGTTCGTAAATGAATATAAATGTTACTCATTGTAAGCATAGCAACTTTTGCATTTGTTTCTATTTTGTTTTATTGAATTTGATAAACACAATTTTGAATTTTTATCTGACTTTCAATGAAACTCAATCTAAACAAAATTTAGGGGAACTGCCCTATTTCACTCAGTTAACTTAACATTTTGAGGCTAACATACCCTCGCTCGCAATGAAATACTGGGTATGCAGAAATAAAAACTTGATGCTCTGGTTATTACACTAAGCTGATTTAATCTCGTCCTTGAACATGCATTGTGCGTATAGTTTGCCAATATGCGACAGTGTATATACGCATCTGGGCTTATGCCCATGAGTTTACCTTTCGCCTACCGTCTGCCCACTGATTGATGGCATAAGCCGAAGCGGCGCCTACAGCGCGATCTGTATATCCGCATGCTTACTCCTCCCATTGCTGACTGTGCGACTGCAGCTGCCCGACTTAATAAAGGCACCAGGGCGATTTGCTCGCCACTTGGCACTGCTCTGGGTACAAATCTCACTGAACGATCGTACGCAACGTGCTCGGCATAGACAAGCATCCTCTCTAGCAGGCGCCATAAATATTCAAAAGTCTGCCTGTGCCTACGTCTGACTCTAAGTTTGAGTTATGCGATGCTGGACTCTGATTCAAGTACCGTTGCTTATCGTGCCAGCCATAAAATATATTCTCTACTTTAAATAAAGGAACGAGCCATGTTTCTGGGTTGTGTAATCCGAAGCCTCTGGCAATAAAATATGACTATTTCAGTTGCACTTCCATTTCCTGAGAGCTGTTTGTATACCCATGTAAAAAAATATATACATGTATGTATATATACAATATTTAGTGCATTTTGGGCATAGTATGGGTGTTCACTGGCACTGGCACTGGTACTGGCTCTGGCTCTGGGGGGCAATAGAACTTTGGCGATCGTTAAAATTGTTGGGCATAAACAATGATCTCATTCACATGGGTTTGCTCTGGCTAAAATAAAAAACCGTTTAATTGTCGGATGCTATTTCCAGCCACTACGAGGAATACAAAATTTTATGGCAAAAGTCAACCATAACAGAACGCCTCAAAGGCCATGGATGAAGAGTAGATCAAGATCATGATTACACAAAGCTAATCTGAGTGCAACATATGCACAAGTTTCTGGAGTTATATAAAACATTTAAAATATGCATTAGACTTTCATCTGATATTACTATCTTGCCTCATAATAGCAGGAAACCTCTAACCTATTCTAATTAAATAATAAGGAGACAGTAACTCATTCACCTCACTCTTTGTACTTATTTTTATTAACAGCACTATATCGCCGCGTTCCCGCGAAATGATCGTATGTAGATTTTTTGCGAAATTGAGATTTTAATGCAGAACGGTTAGAAAACGTCCGTCTGAATGCGACGATACGTATATTTTAAAAGTTAAAGAAATTGTCTGATAAAATCTTTGCTTTAAAACAGGAAATAATTTATGCACATGCTTCGGACAATTCTGTTACTGAATTAAAGTTTTACTCTAAACTAGACACTGAAGTTACTTGCAGTAAAAATGGATTGTTGAATCACTTATTGTATCTAAATATTAAAACTTTCGAGTAGTTTCAATTGTGACAAATCTCTACCTACAATTTTGTTTTTTACATTTATATATATATGTATATATACATATATTTTTTTTCTTTAGGGTAATTTACATTTTAAAAAGAATTCGCAGAGCTTTAACAAATAGGCTCGGTGTTCACAAACATATAATGTTTGTATATATAGTACTCCGCATACGTCAAACAGAACAAATATTTACATACAGTCGAATGATTCGAATCTTTCGCTTTGTACTCAAAGCCTTCGCCTTGTACAGCTAAGTCAACTAATGTCAGACCCAAGACGTTGAGATTATGTTCATTATGTCATAAATTTCACCAATATTGAAGGATCAATTCAAATCAATTCATGGCCGTCAAATAATCGTGAAATATGTTCAACATATTCTTAGCACCTGAATTTATAGGGAGATATGACCTCGTGTGTTTTACTTAACTACTCTTGTCAATATGACGAACAACAAAATTAAATCTACCAATTTTAGTTTCCTGCCTTGAAACTCATCGCATATAATTGAACTGATGATGACGATGATTACAACGATTATTGTGAAGAGGACAATAATGACGTCGAGCAGAGGGGCGAAATTTGCAATGGTGGAACAATGAGCAAATATAAACAAACATTTAAAATTGTTTCTCATTTGTTTTCCTGTTCAAAGTGCATCAAGTTGATGCTGGAGCTGTCCACAAGAAGTGTATGAAGTACGAATGATAATTGCAAAATAGTTTTCAAAAAATGTAATTACCATTTCCATACGAATGTCTATTTTGAGAAAATGAAAAAAGCCAAAAAGCCATAACAATAACAATAACAACAACAGCAACAGGCGCCGCTGGGCTGGATAAACTATTGAATGGCGAAATGTTAAATTTAGCGATGAAATTGTGGCAACTGAAGAATCTCAAATAGTGTTGTGAAGCGTGCTAATGTTCTTGCTGCCTACGTCTGTGTAAGTATTTGTGTGTGTGTGTGTGTGTGACTTGCATTGTTTTGCATGCTTTTTCGTTTACATTTGAAAAGCACTCGCCAAACGGAAATGGCGCTCGACCTCAACCTTACCCAGTGTAGCTCGCGGCAGGCGACTGCTTGTGTGAGAGAGAAAGGGACAAAGAATACAAGGCTGTATGTTAGACAAAGAGAGTAGAGCTAAATAGGTGAAACTCACACAACAAAAGCAGAGGCTGGTCAAAAAAGAAGAAAAAACTTAACAGAAACAATGAGCCGCAAGCAATGAAAAATAACAGACCCACAGACCAGAGACCAATTGGGCCATTGTTTTTTGTACATCGGTATATACAAACATACATACATACATTAACGAACATATATAGCCAAAATTTGGTTTGGTTTCTTAAAAAAAAAATTCTGAGAAAATTTCAGACAGCGTTCATGTGCCTCATTTAGCAGGCTTTCCCCGCGCCAATTGTGCCAATTGCTGGAAGCCTGGTCAATTAACATGCAACAAGTGCTTTAAGTGTTACCAGGAAAATATAAAATGAATCATCTTGGCAAAAGTTTCCATGCCCATTTATATTGTTTTTGTCAAAAACGATTAATATGATTATCATAAGACAGTTAATGGATGGAATCAAATCATCAAGCTTCGTAAATAAATACTTAATCGTAAGTACATGATACAAATAATTAAATTGTATGTTATATATATCTTTACATATGAATATATATTATTTAAAATTTTAAATGCGTTATTTGCAAGCAATCTTAGGCCCCATCCTTGGAAAGCTCCAGAATTTTGGTCCAAAGTCCAGTGCAAATTTGTAGCAATTATCGCCTCAAAAAATTTATTATTATTTATATCTTGAGTTTATTTTCATTCAAATTTCAGTATTCGTTTGGCGATTTTCTCTGAAAAAGTTTACCAACTGCTTGACTTATGGTTGCTAATTCTACACGGGAACTGGTACTGAAAAAGTTCTATTCGATTTTTATACCCTGAACCCATTGAAAATGGGAAATCAGGGTATAATGGTTT